ACTCCCAACACTACAATACTTGTCAATCATTCTTACCGTGATATTTCACTATTATTCATTTCTTAACACTGACTGCACTAGTTAAACTGATCAAAATCAAGATCGTCGTTGAATGGATATTAGGGAGATGAACAGGTATTCAAGTTTACCTCAGTCACTTCTGAGTTTCCAGAGTAATTCAACCATTTCCATAATTCGGATACATACGGTATTTCCATTTAGTTCAACTTGGTCATTTTTACCTCATAAGGGTATTTTCTTAATTTCATAGTCATGTATTCCCAGCGTTTAACCTTTAAAGAAATAAATCAAAATTTTAGGTTCTGGGATCAAATTATTATTACATAATTCATGGACTTAAAAATTATTTCCGATCGGTCTACCAATTTCTTTTGCGAGCAGTCTGAGTCTTCTACAGTGTTTTGTCGTTATTCCATTTTTAGTTTAAGTCCAATGATAATTAAATACACACCTCATGGACTGATTATTTCCATTCATGCATTTACCCATTATCAATGTGTTCCGGAAGCATACAAAAGGTAGTAGAGTATTACCTTGATTTTCGTGCTCCACCGATCGAACATTTAAACTTTATTTGATTGCCCTTGAACTTTAATTACACGACTTATCGGGTGTGAATTTGGCAAAACAAACTTTAGATTCGGACTCAGGACATCGAAAAACATAAAGTATGACTTTTCAAAAATTTTAACTTTTTCGGTCAAAGTCAACGATCAACAGTCAAAGTCAACTGGTTATCTCGAACAAGTTGACTCGGTCAGTTCAAACAGACTCGGTTCAGACCGGGTTGATCGGTTCGGGCCAGTCTAGACCGACTGGACTGGTTCTAGAATGTTTCCAGGGAAGGGGAGGAAGTCCACGAGCACGCGAAGGCGCGTGGCGGCACGTAGCGGTTGCAACGGGGTCGGGGTTGTCGGTCGATTACTCCACTAGCATCTATACATTATTTCAGACCAAAATCAGACCAATAACATCAACCAAACAGAGCTAAATTAATCGGAAACATTCGGGACTTACCCACGCCGACGATAGAGGGAAATCGGCTGCGACAACCTCACCCACTTGTCGGGTTTTGATCGCACGGAGCTGGGGAGTCTTTCTAGGGTGGCAGTGAGGTACTAAAATAAAACAAAAATTGAAAGTTTAGATACTAAAATAAATCAAAAATAATAATTTAAGTTCTAAATGTGTAATTTACCCTAGGAAATACATAGAATTTCAGATTTATTTTTTAGTCAATATTTTTTTATCTACTTTTAAAGGGATTTATTGTATTTTTAAAGGAAATAAAGAGATATTTATTTGCGAAAATTATTTAGATATTTTTGTTAAATAATTTAGTAATTGTCAAAGTTATTCCCATGTATGATTTTAATAAAATTTAATTATAATATATTAATAAATAATAAATAAAATTTATTGAATTTAAATATATATACAAATATATAAATTCAAATCAAAATATAAAACATTTATCATAAATTGATATAGTAGAATGAGGATGAGTTTGAATAAGTGACACACACTGATATACATCGTTATTGATATGTATTGATATGTATCACTAATATAAAATTTATAAATAGTCATCAATGATTTTATTTTTCATTAGAATTTTAAAAATTATAAAATAGATATTAACTTTGAATTTTATTAAAAATAGATATCAACCGTGAAATATTATTAAAGAGGTGACATAACATGTTAAATTAATAAAATATATTTCCATTGAAATTTTAAAAGTTATAAAATAAATATTAAAATTCAAATTTTATTAAAAATAGATAGTGATCGTGAATATTATTAAAGGGGTGACATGATATGACCGTGAAATATTTGACCTCTCAATTATAACTAAAATTTTATTTTAATATTTTTTAAAAAAAATAAAAATTTAGATTACTTTAAAAAATATGCAAAAACATTTTATTTTTAAAACTAAAAATAATATTTTTTTTAAAACTTTTTCAATCTTCAATTTATTTTATAACTAATTATTTTTAATCGTGAGTGCATTTGTAAAACTAAAAACTTATAATTTTTTAGATCCAAAAAAATTAAACCATCAAACAATATAGTTATTTTTTATTAAACGACGTGCTTTAAGTATTTGACTTTTATTTAAGAAGTTTAAACAAAAATATTTCCAAAAAATTATAGTATCACATTAATAAAAAAATATACTCAAACTTAAATAAAAATAATCGAAACAATCCTCAACTTTTAATAATGTATCAGTAATTTAAATGGTATAAATTTAATATTTATAATATAACACTAAAAATAATATTTAATTTATATATTTTGTTTTCAATTTGACGAACATAATAAAAATTATTTTAATTTGATAGTAAAATAATTTTTTAGTTATGGTTAAAGAGTCAAATGAGATATATTTTTTATTAACTTAACATGCCACATAACTTTTTTTTTTTGTGAACAAAAGGGTTAAAAAAAGTACAGAAGAGTAAGCTCTTGATGTCAATGTGTAAACTTCAGCTTCTCGTTGGACAATATCTATGACTTCTAATGGTGGGGTAGAAAAAACAATACGAGCTTCTCCTCTAATCGCGGCAATTTTCGTTAGTCTATCCGCCACCTTGTTAGCATTCCGACTTGTGTGCTTTAAAACAACGTTCCAATCTCTGTTAATCAACTCATTCACGTCGTCAATAAGAGTGAAAATCGATCATCTCTTAGTGTTCTTCTTTAACATCCGAACAACCTCCATACTATCCGTTTCCACCGTGATTAGCCGCTCTCCTAGATTCCAAGCATGAGAAAGATCTTCATGGATACCCCATAACTCCGCTTCAACTACGGAATAAATTCCAATCGCTTTTGAAAATCCTAACATCCAGCCACCATTTGAAGATCGAAGAACACCTCCACATGACGTAAATCCGCTTCCTATGTCACGGGACCCATCGGTATTAATCTTACACCAATTGTGAGGAGGCGGTTGCCAAGCATCCGTCATAGTACATGAACGGTGAGAAAGCTGAATCGTTGATAAAGATGATTCCATTGCACGGTTCGCTTCAATAGTGAGGCGCCTTCTCTTCTCTAATACAGACTCATGCTCAAAATAATCTGGATAAAAAATTCTTCTATTTCGATTCTTCCAGATTAACCAAAGAATTGAATCAAACCGTAAGTCCCAATCATTCTCCTCACGTGCATAAAACCCCGGGGAAGCGATATTGATTTGAATCCAACTTCTGATATCCCTTGTACAAAAATCCTCTAGCTTTTCAGCTTTAACTAATGTTGACCAAATAACCATAGCCAAACATGCCACATAACCTTTTTAACGATAGATAGTAGCATTGTGCCCTTTTCGTAATAAAATCTAAAGTTTAATGCTTATTTTATAACTTTAAAAGTTTGGTGTCTAAAAATATAATTTCACTATAATTTAATGTCCATTTTTGAATTTTAGCTTATAAAATTAACGATCGATATCAATGTTTGACATTTATTCTAAAATTTTTCGTAGAATGGGGCGTAATCTCCCTAAGAAGAGAGGTTAGAAGTTCAATTCTTATTATTATAAATGAAGAAAACTAGATTTATAAAATTTAATGAAATTTTATAAAATTCGAATATAAATCGATCAATAATATACCACTCATACTAAAAAGAATAATATTATATTGTGTATCTTTTTAAAACTAAAGCAAGTAGTTAAAAATAATATTATATGCATTATCGATATATTAAGAAAATTTTGAATAAATACAATTTTATATTTAAAGTCATGACCTCTTGCTCAACGATCTAAAGGTTTAGTCATAGAGTTAAAAATTTAGGGTAAAGTACACAAATGATCCCGACTATAGAATGTTATTTTACTCAATTCATTGGCTATTAAAAGTTACAGAATGATCCATTGATTATAAGACGTTGATGTTTTGAGTCTCCCGACTATTAAAAGTTATAAAATCATCAGTTTATTATTCATTGTATTCCAAACTTATCCTTGTTTCGTTAAAAAATGATGGCAATTTGAATTCGACGTTAACTTGCTGACTAGATATGATATAATCTAATCCAGAATCTCAAATGACGATGATATCCCAGTCATCAGGCTAGCTCAAACTGCCAGTAGCTTTTTAACAGAAAATAAAGAGTTTGGAACAGAATGAGTAGTCAGGTGACCATTTCATAAATTTTAATAATCGGAAGATTTAATAAAATAATACTTTATAATCAGAGGACCATTTGTGTACTTTACCCAAAAATTTGTTAATCTTCAAAACTGATAATTTTCATTTATGAATTGATCTGACATGGATTTTTCATGTAGGGGTTTTTTATCCTAAAATAAAATATTAAAGTCAAAATAATTATTTAATTAAATCTCAGGGACAAATTTTAATATTATGTCTCAATTTAAATATAATATAGTGACTAAATTAGAAAATATGTAATAGTGTGATGAGTTATAATATAATTTACGAAAAGGTAATACAAGCAGAAGTAGGGATGAGCATTTAAACCCGACCCGATCGGGTTGGATTTTTCTAAAATAATTTCGGGTTATGGTCGGGTCGGGTTTATGGTGAAAAAAATCTGACCCAACCCGACCAGAAAAAAATATATAATTTTACCCTATATTTTTAGGGATAATTACAATAATACCCCTCTCTATATATATATATTTTTTTAATTAAGTCACTGTTTTTATTGAATAAAAATAATTTTTTAATTATTTCGGGTCGAGTCGGATCGAATTTCTATGTCATATATTCGGATCGAGTCGAGTAAAACCTTATTTTAGTCGGATTAAATCTCGGATGGAGGCTTTCTTATTCTCGGATCGAATCGGATGGACAAAAAACTCGACCTAACCCGACCCAACCCGACCATGCCCATTCCTAAGCAGAAGCAGAGGAGCGAGGTGGAGGGCAGCGAAGCCATTCATTTGGGAAGAGTGTGGCCTTATCCCCCTCACTCAACGCCGCTCCGTATAAACTCTCGTGTATTGCAATCTCCTTTCCCTTCATTTTTTTCTTGCAAAAATATCTCCAGCCCCCATTACCCTATCTTCTTCTTCTCCTTCTTCGAGGTGAAATGGCCTCCATACACACTGCCCCGTCTCTGGACGTCACCTCCTCGGCCGCCACTAGAAGGAGAATAACACCCACAGCACCAACTTCCCGCTCCTTATCCTTGCCCTTCACTTTTAAGTCTCAGTTCAACGCCCTCGTAGTTGGTGGAACCCCGTTGCTTGGCTGCTTCAACCACCACTCTTTTGCTTCTCGCGCTGTCGCCACTCCCAATTCTGTTCTCAGCGAACAAGCCTTCGAGGGTCTTTCTCTTCATCAAGAAGACGACGTTTATGATTCCGAGGCTGAGTCGTCCATGAACGGCGATGAACTTGACCTTTCCAAGCTGGGTTTGCCTCAACGATTGGTCGATACTCTTCTCAAACGTGGCATCACTCACCTTTTCCCTATTCAGGTCAAATTTCTTTTCATTTTCCCTTCTATCGCGTGCTTTTGATATATATATGCAATGATTAGGGTTATAAATGAACCGAATTTGAACAAAACTTATAAATAAATCGAAGCTCATAAACGAGCTTATAAAGGGGTTTATAAATGAGCTTATAAACAAGCTTATAAATAGGCTTGTAAACGAACTTATAAACAAGTCCCCGAGCTTATAAACGAGCTTATAAACAAATTCGTGATTGAACGAACTTATAAACGAGTTCATAATCGAACGAGCTTATTAAAGAGTCCATAAACGAGCTTATAAATGACTCCAGAACCAAGCGTATAAAAGAGTCTATAAATGAGCTTATAAAGGGGTTTATAAATGAGCTTATAAACAAGCTTATAAATAGGCTTGTAAACGAACTTATAAATGAACTTATAAACAAGTCCCCAAACGAGCTTATAAACAAGTCCCCAAAGAGCTTGTAAACAAGTCCGTGATTGAACGAACTTATAAACGAATTCATAATCGAACGAGCTTATAAACGAGTCCATAAACGTGCTTATAAACGACTCCACAAACGAGCTTATAAAAGAGTCTATAAAGGGCTTATGAACGAGTCAATAAAAGGGCTTATGAACGAGTCGATAAACGGGCTTATGAACGAGTCGATAAACAGGCTTATGAGCGAGTCGATAACTGAGCTTATAAACGAGTCGATAAATGAGTCAATAAATGAGCTTATTTGCCTTTGTTTAGTAAATGAACATACAAATTTTGTTCACTCTTTTATTAATAAATGAACATAAACGAACCTTAAAGGAAAGGTTTACGAACAATTAGGTCTGTTCATTTACACTCCTAGCAATGCTTGTCTTGTGCAATACAAAGTTATGGTTTAAAACGAACTCGTGCTGTGCTTGTTCTTTTTTTCTTTCTAATCTTTATGTTGGGTCTGGCATTGCTTTGGTTATAAGTAATAACCAATAATAATTACTGTTTATCTTGCTAATACTCAAAGCACTTAATATTTTATATACAATTATTGATACAGAGAGCTGTCTTGGTACCGGCACTTGAAGGTCGAGACATCATTGCTCGTGCAAAGACTGGAACTGGCAAGACATTAGCCTTTGGCATCCCCATAATTAAATGCCTTACTGAAGATGATGCTGAACGTACAAGGAGGTAGCGTACCATATATTGCTGCCCTTCATTTTCAATATTGTTGCTATGCTTAATGTTTTCTCATTTCCGTTTCTCTCCTTTTAGAATGTCTGGTCGGCTTCCAAGAGTTTTGGTCCTGGCTCCTACTCGGGAGTTAGCTAAGCAAGTGGAGCAAGAAATTAAAGAGTCGGCGTCTTATTTGAACACAGTTTGTGTTTATGGAGGGGTTTCTTATACTATACAGCGAAGTGCTCTTTCCCGCGGGGTTGATGTAGTGGTTGGGACTCCTGGTCGAATCATTGATCTTATTGAAAGTAACGACCTCAAATTGGGGGAAGTTGAATACCTGGTCCTTGATGAAGCTGATCAGATGCTTGCTGTCGGGTTTGAGGAGGATGTTGAAGAAATTCTAGAAAATCTCCCATCAAAGAGGCAGAGCATGCTTTTCTCCGCAACCATGCCTTCTTGGGTTAAAAAATTGGCAAGAAAATACTTGGATAATCCTCTGAATATTGACTTGGTACTTTCATCCCTATGTAATATTGGATATGTGTATACATGCTGTTTTTTGACATGTTGCTTCTGTTTCCTTATCGATGATGATGATGAAGTTTATATTTCTGACCGTCACTAGTGAAAATTAGTCTCTGTCCCAATACCCGGCCGCTTTCTTGGGCTGGGAGAAGTAATGCATTGTTGAGGAAGTTAATCAAGTTTGCAAAACTCAACATCTTTTCTCAGGTTGGAGATCAAGATGAAAAGCTTGCCGAAGGGATCAAACTTTATGCAATATCAACCACTGCAACTTCGAAGCGGACCATTCTTAGTGATCTCATAACAGTAAGCAATTTATCTTCTCTTACTTTGTCTCATTGGTTCAGTATCTTATTGGTTCATGCTTTTATCAAATATAGTAGTTGCCTATCTTGTAATTTTAGTTGTAAACTTTTCTTCGAGGATATTGTTCTGCCATTTTGTCTCGAACATGTTTAAAATGTTGTTGCGCTACTATATTTTAACATCATTCAAATTTCTTTGGAATCAATGTAACTCAAAAACCGAATCTTTACGTTATCTTCAGGTTTATGCGAAGGGAGGGAAAACCATTGTTTTTACACAAACAAAACGGGATGCCGATGAGGTGTCAATGGCTTTAACAAGTAGCATAGCTTCTGAGGCATTGCATGGGGATATATCTCAACATCAGAGAGAGAGAACGTTGAATGGGTTTCGCCAAGGAAAATTTACTGTGCTTGTTGCCACTGATGTTGCGGCTCGTGGACTTGATATCCCAAATGTTGATCTGGCATGTTGACAACTCTATTATTCCTTTTGGCCATTTCTACTTTATGCTCCCTTTGATTGTTGCTTTTCCCACTTTTTGTTTTTTGCCTTTTATTCTACTGGTAAAATTAGTTTCTAAATGACATATTGAGAAGACTGTGGCACTTACTACTATTTTCTTCAGATTATCCACTATGAGCTTCCCAATGACGCGGAAACTTTTGTGCATCGCTCTGGACGAACTGGACGTGCTGGGAAGGAAGGTTCTGCAATTTTAATGTATACTAACAGCCAAAGGAGAACTGTCAAATCTCTCGAGCGTGATGTGGGATGTAGGTTTGAGTTCATTAGTCCTCCATCAATGGAAGAAGTTTTAGAGTCATCAGCTGAGCAAATTATCGCTACTCTAAATGGAGTTCATCCCGAGTCTATAAAGTTCTTTACCCCGACTGCTGAAAGGATAAATAAAGAACAAGGGACAAGTGCTCTTGCTGCTGCGATAGCACACCTAAGTGGATTTTCCCGTCCTCCTTCGTCCCGATCTCTTATTAACCATGAACAGGTAAACTATAGTTAAGGTTATCTTGCTTCTGACTTTATTTGGATCACTCGATTGCAAATCTTTGCAGGAGTTTATAAAAACCAACATAACATGTTTTTGAAGTTTTTTCAAATTCCAGTACCTATTTGTTAAGAATTTATGTCTTTTATGTTTTGGGAATATTTTTTGTTTCGGGATTAATTTAGCCTGTTACCTAATCGGCATGTGTGTTGCAGGGATTTGTAACACTGCAATTGATAAGAGATGAAACTTATTCCAGAAGGTTCCTTACTGCTAGGTCTGTCACCGGGTTTCTTTCCGATGTGTACTCTGCGGCTGCTGATGAAGTTGGGAAAATACATCTGATTGCCGATGAGAGGGTCTGTATCGGGAAAAATTTCTTTTCATTGTCTTCTCCGACGTATGAATTTCTTCACTCAAGACTTGAGAATGTATTTGTTTTCAGGTTCAAGGAGCAGTATTTGATCTCCCTGAGGAGATTGCGAAAGAATTGCTGAGTAAGGAAATACCGCCTGGAAACACCATCTCGAAGATCACTAAGGTTGATGCTAGATATCATTCACTGTTGGTCGTATTGGTTATATTACTGTCATCCGACATAAGTTGATCTTGTTCATTAATTTCTTCTGGCAGTTGCCTCCTTTGCAAGATGATGGCCCTTCAAGTGATTTTTACGGGAAATTCTCCAGCAGGGATCGTGATCGTTTTTCACAAGGCGGTTCTAGGGAACGGAGAGGTTCGAGGACCTCCAGGGGTTGGGGTAATGGCCGAGATTCCGACAATGAGTTCCAAGGCGGAAGAAGCAGCTGGTCACGGGCTTCGAGAAGCAGTATGGATGACTGGCTAATTGGTAGTAGCAGATCAAAGAGGTCACCCTCCCACGACAGGCATGTCTTCTCCTTGTATTCTTTTGTGAAAAACCTATCTTCAACTTTGTTCTTCTGTTCCAAGTTTTGCATCTAACATGATAGCATACATGCAGCAATCAGGTTTATCAAGATCATCTGATATGATGATAATCCGACTATGATTACTTGAACCGATATATATATATATTAGTGGGGCAACTTGTATATGATTCGAGGTTGACCTCTCTCTTGACTTGTGCAGAAACTTCGGAGGTTCATGTTTCAACTGTGGGCGACCCGGGCATAGGGCGTCCGACTGTCCCGGAAAGTCGGACTTTTAGCGTGTTGGTTTGATACCGAATTTCACCATCTTGGAACAAATCTGGCTGTAGTTGGGGGCGCTCGGTTTTTGACAGATATTGGCATTCAGTTGAAGATCTCGACGATGAAGACGCCATTGGTGCCCGGCGAGGGAGCTCTACTGATGTTGTAGTTAGTTTTTGTTGGTAATTCAGTCATTTGCTCTATTAGTCTCTTTCTCGCTCGCTATTTTGGTACCTAAAATGTGCGGTCAAAATGGCCTAAAGGTTCCATGCAAATATTTTGAACTCAATATGTAGTTTTCTCTCTTCCAAATGGCATACCAAAATCATAATCCATATTGGGTCTAGCAGGTTATATATCAATACATATTTAAAATATGTTCTCCCTGCGTGCTATTCATTGGAGACATTATTTTCATTTCGTTTTGATTATTCGATTATTAATTTTTAAGATTACATTTAATGTTGTGTTTTAATTTTATTTTAATCATCTATTTTTAAAAAATTAATTGTAATGTTGATATGTCATCATAAAGTAGTGTCACACTATCTTTGAAAAATAATAATAATAATAAATTATCTTTGAAAAATAATAATAAAAAATTATAATATCATCAGTTTTGTTTATTTTTCAATAACAAATGATTAAAATGAAATCAAAACATAAATTAGTTATGATTTTGATAAAAAAGATAATTAGATGATTAAAATAAGTGATAATTGAGTGACAAATATGTAGTTTACCTGAAAAATATAATAGGATAATTATGTGTTTACTTAAACTATTAATTTTGATATGTTTTAGTGTTTAAACTTTTAATTTTTTTTCAAAATCATACCTAATATTTAGTTTTTGCTTCATTTTAGTACCCAATATGTTTTTAACATCAAGTATTGAAAAAAATAAAAGTTTAGGTACTAAAATGGTACAAAATTGATAATTTACGTACTAAACACATAAAATTTTTAACAGCGGGATATTAAAATAAAATAAAAAAATTAAATATTGGATATAATTTTGAAAATTTAAAAGTTTAGATATTAAAATGGACCAAAATTAATAATTTGGGTACTAAATACATAATTTACCCTATATTTTGAAATAGAATTTATTGGATTGTATTATTTATTTATTTATTTTAATAGAAAGTCGCTAGTTTTATAAAAATAAAAAATATACAAAATTATAATGAAGATTTACAAGCATAAACGTAAACCTAAAATATAATTATGGTATTTTCTTATTATCACTGAGACAAAAACTAGCCATCCAGATCACATAAAAACCAAAGAAGGAAAAAGTTAAAAAACTAACCAAAAAGCTCGAACAAATTTGAATGCATCAACAAACGAACCACAAAAACAGATGTAGCTACTGAAAGACCACCGACAAATCACAATTCAGAGTCGAGCGATGTGATAAAACTATCCACAAATGCAAACGCGTATCCAAATCAATCTGAAGGCCCAAAGCAGAGAATATCATGACAACAAATAAACACCATCTTAATCAATCGTGACAATATCAAATCCAACCATGAAAAAAAAATAAAAGAAAATAAAGACAAAAAACTGTTATACAATTATATACTAATTATACTAATGATTATAGTAATTATATACTATAATTATATACTAATTATAGTAATGAAGCACCATATTGCCCTAGTTACTTTTATAACTTCCCAAATAGTAGTGTTATTTAGTTATTTTTATTTATTAATGCCACAATTTCTCTGTCGATAATGATTTTCATAGTGTATATAACTTTAAATCTAGTTATAAATTAGGGTTTTTTATTTCCTTTAAATCGATCTAGGGATCTATTTGTAATGATTACTTTTCATTTCAGATATGTATAAGAAGACTGTTCAATCACGTATTTATTTATTTATATATACATTGTATTTTATCTTTATTTTTAATTTTTCTCACTGGCGGAGGTATTTCACGAAAGCTGTTGCTCTCAATTTGGTGATGAGAGCAGCCTACTACCCTACCTTCCCTTATCCCATCACATATGAAAATAAGATTTTGATGTTGTTGTTGTATACTGTATCATCACTTTATCCTTCAATCCCAAACCCTCATCTCCGATTTCGAAAGATACATTACCCTAAAAGGTATTTCATCCTAAAATTTCACATTTTCCCCTTTCCAATTCATTTTTTATTTATTTGAATTAATTAATCCACGTCCATTCGTGGTATATAAATATTCATGCTTATAGAGAAACTCTAGCTCAATTCTCAAATTTGATTCCTTCATTTGTGTTCATAGTTGATTATGATAGAGAATCCCAATGAACGTTTTATTGAATTTTATTCGATTAATTGAGCTTTGCAGCAAGATCATTGAATAGCATGGTTGGGTTGATTTTCTTTTCCGGATTTTGGTTTGTTCTTCTTATTTTTTTCCTGCAATAATAGTTATTGATTTCGATCTCAGTCTTGTTCTTGATTGAATATTGAACCAAACCGCCGTATTGTAGTTATGGATTTGGAGAGTGAATGTCCTGTGGTTGAATTTTTCGAGGATAATGAATCTCCTCAACACACTATACCCCATGTTGATGCTAATAAAATCAAGAACAAGCAGGTTGATGCTTGCAAGATTAAGGATAATGGGCTATGCGAAAATGATGATCAGACACAGAGGTTGTCCGCTGATCAAAGTGTCGGTCCCGATGATTTCACAGCTGATATTCATGTAAATGGTCCTGCTGGGATTGCGCTGCCGATGCATTCGTCTCCGCCTGCTAAACCTACCCCCAAAGGCTATGGGTTGAAGAAATGGAGGCGTATCAAGAGTGGTTTTGTTAAGGAACCATCTCCCGTTATGGATAGTCCTAAAACATTGAAGCGAAGTTCATCTGGTGCCGAAAATCCAACTCCTCAACATATGGTGTCAACTGAGATCAAGCAGAATAGTGAGCCTCGTATTAGACCTGTGAATACAAAAAAGAACACGATTGTTGCTAGCGGATTCATGATGCACAGCCCCTGGTCAGATTCCACCGAAAATACTCCTCGAGGTAGCAAGTCTGCTACCGCAGCCAGTATGCCACAGGTCCTACCTACAGTTTTGGGGTATGTGCACAGGAGAAATCATATGAAGAATTTTAGTGTGAAGAATGTAGGTAATTTAAGTCCAAGATTTCAACAGGTAAAGGGTAGTGTTGAAAGCAGTAACAAGCCAAGAGGAGAAAGGGTCAAAATTGAGAAGGAAAACTCTCAATCCAGCGTCGGATCTGGCTCAAGAAGCTCCAACTTTGGCTTTATGTCAAGTCCACTTTCAGTGACAAGTAAGGGAAAGCAAGGTGGAAACTCCTTGAATCTTGACGGGAAAAATTATGATGAAGCTTATGAAGGTGAAGACCAGATCAATGAGGAAGTACAAACTGCTCATATGAAAGAAAATTCAGGTGAAATTGAAGCTCATGTAGGTGAAGACCAGATCAATGAGGAAGTACAAACTACTCATAGGAAAGAAAATTCAGGTGAAATTGAAGAACTTTCACTGGATGATTTAGCTGCAGATTTGTCTCACGAGGCTAAGGCAGAAAAAAGTGAGAGTTACCGAGTTTCACCAAATCAATACCTATTGGTCAACTCTATTCTTTCTCTCCAATCCGTCCAGGAAGCGCTTGAAAGGGGTGGGTGTTATATCCTTTTACTAACTTTGATAAGCCTTCGTCATGGTTAACTAATCATTTCTGCTGTGCATTGCTCTCTATTTCTTGCTTGGTGGTCATACCACACCACTTGATTTGCTCATATTTTAGTTAGCTTATTTGTTTGAAAATCCTCTGAAATATTTCGCTAAGTATTTACTCAAAGAAATTGATTACTCTGTCCTTGTTCCAGAGTTGGACAAAGATTGAAAATGGTTGTTCTTCATAAAGTCTCATGGAAGCCAATTTTGAAAATTGCTATACTATTCAGACTATGTAAAGTCTCTACAACTGTTAAAAGGTTGTCCAAATAGCCAAAAGGAACTTCAGGCCATATAACGTTAAGTTAGTGAATCATGCATTGATAATTGACTTTAACAGTAATCCTATGTATCTCGTAATGTCCTGATATCATCAAGAAAAAATCACCTGGAAAAGGAAATTTGATGATGAATGATCTTGGGAAAAGCAGCGAGTAAATTCGAGGGAGAATGGAGGGAATGAGTTTTGGTCGATGTATATTCGATGGTCAAAATTTAATCATTTTGGTTATCGAAGAGTCTAGGACTTTCTTCTTGGCAGAGTGATTGTTAATTGTATATTTTACTAAATTCCATAATTGTATGAAAGAGTATAGGACAACATACATGTTTTCATTCTTGCTAGAGTCATTGTTAATTGTATATTTTACTAAAATACCATAATCGTATGAAAGAATCTATGACTTCGACATACATGTTTTCATTCTTGGTGGAGTTGATTTTAATTGTCTTTTTAACTAACTACCACTTCTTTCATAGCTTACTGTGTCCTGTATTTCTTAAAGTTTAATGGAGCATTTTTTTTCCTTGCAGAAATACATAAATTCGAGGAGATTGGAAAGGAACCTACTTCTCTAGATGATGGTTCGGTTAACATGGAAAGCGTTTGTGCGGATACTACTTTTGCCGATCAGGAAACTAGCTCATCTGACCGATTAGATTCTGAAAAGATAAGTTGTACATCAGGTTCCTTGGAACCTCTACTATACACCTTAAAACACAAAGTAAATTATTTGGAGGGCAAACTGGAGGAAGCAAGGGCTGTACTGCGGGCAAGGGAGTCGAAGATTTCCGAACTAGAAACCAGTGTAAATGGTAGCTGGTCAAGGAAGGAAGAACCAGGAGGCACCTCAGAGTTGCAGCAAGATAAATACAGAGACACGGAATTTGATCTCAAGGGCCTCTTTCAACAGAGAATGGAGACTGAAACCGAGTTCCTAGCTCTAAGGAGGACTGTACAGAAGTTGAGAGATTCTGTACGCAATCGTCAAACGACAGTATTCAAAGAACAAACATCAGCCGGTGTGCAAGCACGTAAGTTGAATAATCGACAAACCAGCGAGGTTTCGAAGATGCAGAGGAGAGTATATAAAGCAACGTTATGTTTTTTAACACAGTTGGTATTACTGGTTTTAATGTTCTTGTTTGTTGTCTTGCAGTTGACACCCTTTACAGGGATGGATGTTCCCACCTGAGTTTTTTTTTTTGGGGGTGAATGATCCAAATTTTAGATTTCATTGTTATTATAGTTATAGAGCTTCCTTATTTTCTTTTCCATCTTCCCCATGCTAATGTCAGATCACAACTTGCCTACTTGACTTGAGCTTCTCTCTATAGATTTA